GGGTGGTGGTGGGGGGGGGGGGTGTGGAGGAGCGGACAGCACCCGAAAGTCGACAGAGGAATGAGATTTCACCGGTCCTCCGGAGTCTTGTTTGTTCAGTAGACGTTCTTCAGCTGTTCGTAGGTCATGAAGAACTGGACGCAGGGTTAAGGGAAATGGAAAAATACACAGTCGAAATTGTCTAAGAAGATGGTCACTCATTCTCAAAGAGAAAAGTGACCAATTAACACAGAGTCATTATAACGTTTAAAAAAAAAAAAAGTACATAAGGGAGGTGGCCGTTAGAGCGGGTTTGACTATACACAGACCAACCAGCTCTAGAGAAAATTTGTCCAAGACAAAAGAGCGTCATAACTGAATCCCGGATCCCCCCCAGGAAATTCCTCTATAACATAATTACCTCTTAAAAATGACAACTTTTCAACTTGGAAACGGAAAAAAAACAAAAAAACCTTCCCTAGGAGGATTTTGGTCTTCTGACTAAGATGGAAATTGCTTTGCTAAAATTTCTCCTTCTTAAGGACAGCATTAACCCTCTCCTTGACAATGACAGGCTGCAAGATCAAATAAAAGTTCTTTACCAAAAAAACAAAAAAAGTTTTAGGGTTTAGTAAGAGTTTTACGGCACTTGCAACACAATAAGGTCATATAAGTGCCAAAGATTAGAGATGTTACAAGAGAGGAACGAACACAAAAAAGAAAGTAGGAGAGACCAGGACGATAGAAGCTTGACAGGAGAGAAAGAGCAAACCACACCAGAGCAAACAAACAAACAAACAACACCCCCCCCCCCCCCCTCCCTAATCAATGTACATGATATCAGTGTGACGGTGAGCGTAAAGGATACAATGATGTTCCACGGGCCCAGCCTCAGCCAGTTTGGAATGAATCCTTTGTACAGGGCCATCATGCCTTCTGTCCGGACGGTCTGAAAAATATTTCGAGATCAGTAAGTCCGACAAATGGTGACTACAGTATTGAGGTACAGATCACTGCTTTTGCAGGCCAGAGGAAAACAAAACACATGCATATATATAGATCTAATACTAGTACTTCTGATTCCCAAAATTTATGACAAGCACAATAAGATTTTTTAAAAAAAGTTGGCCAAAGTCACATAAAAATACAACGTCTAATAAGTACATACCATCTCACAAAAATGCCTTTGTTGGTCCCCACAAAATGCTTTTTTAAAAACCCCAATAGAAACGGGTGTTTCTTCAGCATAAACCAACTTTTGACAAGTAGCCAAATAAAATGTAATGAGAAACAGGCAATCAATAAATTGCCTTAACAACTAACGGGTCACTTAGCCAAGTGTACACACAGTAAACACTACAACACTATGTAAACTATTTACAGCCTCTGCAAGGTCTAAAATTAATTTTTTTAAACATAAACCTTGAAAAAAAATTCTAATAACAAGTACTATGCAGCAATGCATGAAAATTTGAGATAATAAAGAAACAATTTCCAGAGTACCTGAACTAAAAAAATTTATGTCTTTTTGAATTAATCTACAGCGAACATGAAACTTATCTATAATTAGATGAATCTGACCTTCAAAGAATGTCTTTCTTTTCTCACAGTAACTCAGAGCCACCTCTCAGTATTTGAAAAAAATTTTTTTTTAAATTGTGACACTGGACACAATAATTCTGTCCTTCACCCTCGATATGTTCATAATAGCATCATTCTACAGAAGATCACTGCCATCAAATCCATGCTGTTCCCCGACTTACCCGGACGAGACAGTCGAGGGAAGACTTGTAGATTGCCGGAGCGGCCCCAGCCATGGCGGAGACCTCGGCCTTCACGTTCCGCTGGTTCATCATGCGTGTCTGAAAGCACACAGAGAGGACAGACGGTGAAGTGCAGGTGCCGAGAAGACTTGTCAACGAGATGATGATGATGATGATGATATGAAAGATGAAATGATGTTTGGGTGTACTTTGCAGATGCGGTGCAATTTTTACGTTCAATTTCGTTTTCTTCTCAATTTCGTTTTCTCTATTTTCTTTAAAAGAAAATCCCAATAGTCGGATATAAATTCTCAAAATTGTTTCAATTTAATATTGATTTCTTTACAACTTTTCATTTTCAAATTTCTTAAACATAATTTATATTACAAATACATTTTTAACACCCTAACGAAAAGCCGCCAGTTTAAGGGACAAGGGTTTCGCTTGGCATTAAGCCAAATGGCAAGAAAACTGCCACAAAGTCTGCTACGTGTGTCATTGAAGACACTAGTTTCTCTGATGTCAAATATTTCCCTCTATTGCATTTTTCACTTAATGGACCTTACAATTCTACAACAGGAAGATTTATGTCAATGCACAGCAAGAAAAGAAAAATTTCTAATGGCCAGTTAGTTTTTATAATCTGATCAAAACTTGATTCATGAGTTAATTAATGACTTGTTTCATCAGGACTTTACTCCCAACTATCAAGACTTTCTGCCCAAGGAAGGACATGTGAGGCCAACAGTCAGTTTGTATCTCAAAGGATGTGGGCTCAAACTGGGATTAGACCTAATCAGTTGTACGTCCAGAGAATATTTTTAAATAGCTTTAATTTTTCATCAGTGAGATGGTCTGCCAACAGATTATGAAAGCAAAAATGTGACCCTGAGCCTTTTCTGAAAAAGTTCAAGACATCCAGACTAGAAAAAGTTTACTGACTGATGGGTGGGCTTAGATCTAAAAACAAAGTCAATGTAAACATTTAAGTGACGCGGGTCTGTTATGCAAATGTTGCATACATATTTATATGAGGTCAAGTTTGGCCTTCTCAAAAACTTTTGTCTTCCCCGTAACTTTTCCCCAAGGACTATCACAACTTTCAGATCAGCCGTGCCTGAGCCAGGTTCTGATGCTGACCAGCACTCCACACAAACCCAACATGTGCATCCAGGACATACGTACCATCTGATAAACTCCCTCATACTGACTAAAATATGACCAAGCAACTGACTGATTAACATTTGTATTTTCTTCCATGCTCAATTCAACAATGTACTGATTTGCCAAAGATCTCAATCCGTGAGGTAGCAGCGTTTCACTTAGCTTTACCAACAAAACTCTTGGAACCTGGTTCCACGGCCGGGTACGCCTTTCTGGTACCCCCATCCACTAAATTGGCGGCTCCTTCCAGAAATGTGGAAGACATACAACGTTATGCTAGAATTGTGACGACAGGCTAGAACAGAGACAAAGCCAAAACGAGAACCGGACACGATTCGAAACATTCATCTCAACAGCATGTATGTGTTTCTGTTGTGTGTGTGTATATACAGTTGTTGGGTCAGGGATGATAGCTTCCACTATGTCCTAATCGCTCTCAACAGCGAACTCTCTAAGACCACCTGCAGAAGCGCTTGTCGTGCGAATTAAGATGGCAAGTGAAGGGAGGAAATGGGAGTGGGCATACGGTAGACACAACCATGAATGAATTAACCCTCCTTTTTCACATGGGTATCTTTCCACAAAGGAGACCCATGTGATACTTAATTGATACCTATGCAGTCTATGTGATACTTAATTGATACCTATGCAGCCTATGTGATACTTGATTGCTATTTATGTCCATGTGACACATAATTGCTATCTATGTCAGTGTGATACTAAATTGCTATCTATGTTAGTGTGATACTTAATTGTTATCTATGTACATGTGATACTTAATTGACCTATGCAGTCCATGTGATACTTAACTGCTATCGGAGTTCATGTAATATTTCATTCTGATGAAGACTTCCACAGACTTTCCTGATCATCTAAAGACTTTCTCTGCTTCTCCCACTGGCAAAGTTGGAAAACTGAACCCTGTAGTTTCCAAAAACACTCAAGCTACAGATCACCAAACTTCGGTTACTATTTTCTCTCCAACTTTACCTCTGACACCAGGCAACTCCCCCCCCCAAAAAAACCCCCCCCACACATAACTTCCTTCAACTACAGATATCTTGACTTCTATTTAAGATAGATGGTCAATGCATTTTTCTCATCAAAAGCAAGACAAATGAACAAGCTTTAAGATGATATCAATAACTCCATATGCCCAAAAATTGACGAGCGACTGATTCCAGTGTCGAGACAGCTTTGAACCTAGATTTGACAGATTGTTCAGCTTCAACGGGCATCACGCAGATCGGAGTAGAGACAAATTTTTAGTTTTATAAAGAGTTTTATGGCACTTGCAACCCAATAAGGTCATATAAGTGACGAAGAATAGATGTGTTTAAAAAAAGTAACATACGTAAAAAAGGAGGAGGAGGAGAGATAAGGGCGATAGGTGTTTGATAGGAAAGAAGGAGCAAACTGCACCAAAGCACTCATCAACCACCCCCGATGATTTTTTCCATCACCCTTTTGTCAGCTTTGTACGGTGTAAGCACAGGGTGGATGGGGGGACAAGCGCTGCTGCAGGTTTTTTTTTTTTTTGGTGCTGATTTTTACGAGAAATTCCTCTTTTTGAATAATGAAAGCAACAAAAGTGTTCTTTGCAGGAAGCGGGAAGGTGGTCGCGCTTCACGTGAACATCATTGTATTTGCTAAATATGTACTAACTGATCTACAAGCTAGTTAGCAGTTAGAGGAAGCTACCAATACCCAAAGAGTGTATGAGGAATGAGTTATGCAAGGAAGCAAGCACATTTGGTGTCCAAAAGAAAATGGTCATTCTCACATCAAAATATACATTGTTGTTCATAATAAAAAACCCCAAATTTAAAAACCGCTGCGAAGAAAAAAATGTGCGTAAGATATAGGAGCTGACAGTGTAATCAAGTCTGTTATAGCAATAGCAATGATGATGATGAAGATGATGATGATGAACAAATTTTCTGATTGTGAGAATAAAGCAAACGTGAATCAGAACAAAATGAATGAGCAGGACAAGGCTTGGGGAAAAAAATCCAAAGACAGTCACACAACAACAACAAAAACAAAACACTTGTACAGACACGCAAAGACAACAACAATGGGAAAAACAAAACAAAACAAAAAACGAGACAAAACAGTACATTATGACACTAACAACAACAACAACAAAAACAACGAGCGCCACGACAAAAAGACGAGAAATATGATGGTGTTTATGGAAACTAACGGCGACACAGAAACTGCAACAGGCGAGATGGAGGAGGAGGAGGAGGAGGACGGGTCCTTGGAAGGAAAACGTCACCAGGAAACTTCATCATTTTTTGATCTCATCCTGCTCCATAGGGGGGTGGTGGTGGTGGCGCGCCGGCATGGCTGGGTGGATGCCGGCGGCCGGCCTCACTCGGGGTAAGCGTGGTGGGATATTTGGTTTGTGCCGCCATTGCCGCCTGCAAAGCAGCAGCGACAGGTGACCACAATTGCCCCCGCACTTCCCGTCATCCACCATTGACTGCTATAACCTTCAGAAACAACGAACCAACCAGCCAGTTTTTTCACACACACAAATTTTAGAAAGTTTAAAAAAAAAGAAAAAAAAGAAAAAGTAATTCAATAGCAGGGAGGAAGGTAATAAAGCAAGAGGAGCCACAGTAGATGAGCACTATCATATTATTATCGTTATTGAAATATTATCATCATTATTATTATTAGAATATCTGGGAAGCGTGAGGATTAAGACAGCATTGAAAAAAAAAAGCAATTTGAAATAGGGAAGTGCTCCTAAATATTAAAATTGATTAACTTCGCACTAACAAGAAACCTGAAGGAAGCAAAATAAGTCAAACAAGAAAATTACGAGGGGTAAATCGCTGATGCTTTTCTTCTCTTTCTTTCTTTTTTCTCTCTCAAGAACCTCAAAATTTTGAGACTGTCGGAGAGTGTAGCAGGTTTTCATTTACCTTTTGAATCTGACCTGATCTGACATTTCAATTTTTGCTTTTAAAACCAGCTTGACATGCCCTTATTTGTTTCACCGAAAAACCCTCAGTGTATTTAGTCTGAACTTAACTAGGAAGCAACTTACTCCAGCCCACATAGAAGGAGACAAGTTGAATTCGTGTGCTCTCTTGATTGTTTGATGAACATAAACTCCTTAAGATCCACTTGCACTATCACGGCTGTTTGCTCATTTGTCTCAAGATGGTATGGCAGCTGTCTGCACTTTAGTTTTCGAGACGTTGTAGCATCGGAGGTAGGCTTAGCACCTTTCCAACATGACAGGCGATACTTTTAGTTAGTGTAGTGCTGGTCTTCATTGTTTCTCCTGGACACAGGTGGTTACTTGAGCCAAAACATGTTAGAAAATTATAATTGCAGTGAGCGCAAAGGGAATGACTTTTAGGTCAATGTGTGGATACATACAAGCGTTGCGTGTACTTGTATACCTTCACTACAACATCCTAAAGTTCTTTTATCTTGCGACTGGTTTTCAACTTCCCTCTTCCTTGGCCTAAAATCTTCTGTCGTGCATTTCCAGGTCCTTAATTTCAGTCAATTTCAGACATGGTTCCCGTTCTCTAGCTCTCAAGATTGGGCAATGTAGAGATGTACACTTTCTCAATTCCGTTTTCAAGGCAGTGTGTTTTTTTTCTTTCCAGCTTCATATGCCATACCTTCTGAGTCCTAGGCCTATAGGGTCTGTACACCTTATTCTTATACTACAGAATCCATACACCCAATCTCCCTAAGGATGGTTGCTAAAATTACTTCACTGCACCCTAAACTGTGTCTTCGCTGTGTAGAAAGGTAAAAGTAGAGTGCACTTAGTCATGCCACCAGATTAATATTTTATGTACTCTTATATCAAAAACAGCACTCCATGTCAGTCCATAAAAGCTTCAGCTGTACGGTCCTGTTATTTCCTTCAGCTGTACGGTCCTGTTAATTCCTTCAGCTCTATCATCCAGTTATTTCCTTCAGCCTCAAAGTCCAGTTATTTCCTTCAGCTCCATCATCCAGTTATTTCCTTCAGCCTCAAAGTCCAGTTATTTCCTTCAGCTCTATCATCCAGTTAATTCCTTCAGCTCTATCATCCAGTTATTTCCTTTAGCTCTTTCATCCAGTTATTTCCTTCAGCTGCAGAGTCCAGTTATTTCCTTCAGCCTCAAAGTCCAGTTATTTCCTTCAGCTCTATTATCCAGTTAATTCCTTCAGCTCTATCATCCAGTTATTTCCTTCAGCTCTATCATCCAGTTATTTCCTTCAGCCTCAAAGTCCAGTTATTTCCTTCAGCTCCATCATCCAGTTATTTCCTTCAGCTGCAGAGTCCAGTTATTTCCTTCAGCCTCAAAGTCCAGTTATTTCCTTCAGCTCTGTTATCCAGTTAATTCCTTCAGCTCTATCATCCAGTTATTTCCTTCAGCTCTATCGTCCAGTTATTTCCTTCAGCTCTATCATCCAGTTATTTCCTTCAGCCTCAAAGTCCAGTTATTTCCTTCAGCTCCATCATCCAGTTATTTCCTTCAGCTGCAAAGTCCAGTTATTTCCTTCAGCTCTATCATCCAGTTATTTCCTTCAGCCTCAAAGTCCAGTTATTTCCTTCAGCCTCAAAGTCCAGTTATTTCCTTCAGCTCTATCATCCAGTTATTTCCTTCAGCTCTATCATCCAGTTATTTCCTTCAGCTCTATCATCCAGTCATTTCCTTCAGCTGCAGAGTCCAGTTATTTCCTTCAGCTCTATCATCCAGTTAATTCCTTTAGCTCTTTCATCCAGTTATTTCCTTCAGCTGCAGAGTCCAGTTATTTCCTTCAGCCTCAAAGTCCAGTTATTTCCTTCAGCTCTATTATCCAGTTAATTCCTTCAGCTCTATCATCCAGTCATTTCCTTCAGCTGCAGAGTCCAGTTATTTCCTTCAGCTCTATCATCCAGTTAATTCCTTCAGCTCTATCATCCAGTTATTTCCTTTAGCTCTTTCATCCAGTTATTTCCTTCAGCTGCAGAGTCCAGTTATTTCCTTCAGCCTCAAAGTCCAGTTATTTCCTTCAGCTCTATCATCCAGTTATTTCCTTCAGCTCTATCATCCAGTTATTTCCTTCAGCCTCAAAGTCCAGTTATTTCCTTCAGCTCCATCGTCCAGTTATTTCCTTCAGCTCCATCATCCAGTTATTTCCTTCAGCTGCAAAGTCCAGTTATTTCCTTCAGCTCTATCATCCAGTTATTTCCTTCAGCCTCAAAGTCCAGTTATTTCCTTCAGCCTCAAAGTCCAGTTATTTCCTTCAGCTCTATCATCCAGTTATTTCCTTCAGCTCCATCATCCAGTCATTTCCTTCAGCTGCAGAGTCCAGTTATTTCCTTCAGCCTCAAAGTCCAGTTATTTCCTTCAGCTCTGTTATCCAGTTAATTCCTTCAGCTCTATCATCCAGTTATTTCCTTCAGCTCTATCATCCAGTTATTTCCTTCAGCTCTATCATCCAGTTATTTCCTTCAGCTCTATCATCCAGTTATTTCCTTCAGCTCTATCATCCAGTTATTTCCTTCAGCCTCAAAGTCCAGTTATTTCCTTCAGCTCCATCATCCAGTTATTTCCTTCAGCCTCATAGTCCAGTTATTTCCTTCAGCCTCAAAGTCCAGTTATTTCCTTCAGCTCTTTCATCCAGTTATTTCCTTCAGCTCTATCATCCAGTTATTTCCTTTAGCCGCAAAGTCCAATTATTTCCTTCAGCCACAGAGTCCAGTTAAATTCATCGTCATGCAAGTTCCCACACCACAGATTTAAAAAAAATAATTCTGACTGAACTTTAGAAATGGACAAAGACTCTTGCTTGTGCTTGCCGACAATCTGTTCAATGGAGTTCTCATCACTGTCCACTTGTTCCTGACTGCTGCACTCAAAATGGTCGTGTTTCTCCAAATTGATCTCGTTACTTGCCCCTGCCTTCTTTTCAAGACCAATTAGTCCATATCCTGATAATTCTTTCTACATTATTTTCTCTCCTCTTTCAAAAAGGAAAATAGGAATCCGTGCGACGAGAAATATGGACAGCGACTGTCACAGTCAGTAGTTGCTTGCTTCAAGACTGCATTATCTGGCTACGTGCTGGACCTTCATTTACACACAAAGACGCTGTATAAAATGGCTTTTTACAATCGAGAACCAACAGGTATGTTGTTGATTTTTTTTACTACTACAACATGCAGAAATAAGATATCTTTGAAGAACAAGAATGATAAACATTCTGTTGTTCATGTGAAGAAAAGAAAAGCATCATCATCTATCCACCCTGTTCTCTGATTTTTAACAAAACAAACTTACCAGTTTACAAAGTTCATAAATGTATATATTATTATATTATTAACTATACGAATTTGACATTCTGGGAAGAGTTTTTTTTGTTGTTGCTGCTTTATTTATCAATGAACATGAGAATTCTTAGCATTACAGCTTTGCATTTGCATTAGGAAAACAAAAGTCAATCACTGGAGCTAACCAGTCATCTATTCTCTTCGTCTTTAATTAAAGAAAAATTCAAGATGAGAATTTTTTTCCCTTTTGATATCAACAATTCATCAAATAACAACTAAAGCCTGATAATGCAAGTTTGCATAACTGTATTTTTTTCAGCCTGACCCTCCCAAGTCTTAATGATTTTAACAGTTTGTTGCTGAAATGTTTCTGAGTAAAAAGACATTGCAGTAAAAAGCGTAATTCACTCTGCGCTACAGAACACGTTTAAAAACCACAGGCGCTTTCACTTCACATTTTAAAGTGGACATCAAAAGCAAATCCTTATTTTCAACTCGGTTTGAAGATTTTTGTTCTTGCACAAAGTACATTTCCTTTTTCGCTTTCACCATTTTTCTTTTTCTTTTCTTTGTCCGTTAACCGTTTGATTCATGCAAACTTGCAAAGTAGGCCAGCAGTTTTTGTATAGGAACAGCGCAGGAGAAACGCAAAGCATGCCAGGAGTTGTCAGTACTAACCTTGCACACATCGATGGGATTGGATGCAAGCGCTCCGATAAACCCAGCCAGAAAACTTGCCCTGTGTGGCAAAGAGGAAATTTTTAAAAAACATTGGTAAAAAAAAAGTCTTACAAAAAGCAAAAACATCTGTAACACCTCAGTGACTTAAATTCACGTATGATTCTCCAGACGTATTGACTTATAGCAACATGATCAATTATAAAAACAGAAGAAAAAACAACAATCTGGTGCGCAATCTTTGCTGATGACAGAAAGTCTAAATTATGTTTGCTGAGGGGTGTCTTTGACAAAAGCAGACCTGAGCGTCTGTTGTCATTGATTCTGTATAGACTGAGTTTCAAGAAATGAGCAAACAAAGTGAAAAACTTACAGGAAATGAGTTTCTTTGGTGTCCCCGAGGTATCCTGAGAGAATAATGTACTTCTTGAAAATATCATAGGCAGGCAGCTCCACTCCAGCGACCACAGCAGCTCTCTGAGCAGTCGGACCGACGCCCTGGGGAAAAGGTTGACCAAAAAATACATGTTAAAATGTATTATTATTATGCAAACATTATTCGCAAGATATTATATGTTTACATTCCTTTAATGAACTGGGGTACACCTCAGATCAGGCGGTATCATTTCTTGATCCTTTCTTCTTTTTTTTTGTGTCCACACACCAGAAAAAATCAAGAAAAAATTTTTTTTCACATTATGTGCGACACAAAATGCCTCTGCCTCCGAGTGACAGCATAATTTAGTAGTTTAGACGAAACAAAATAAACCACTAATTCTTGTCATCTTTACAAAACACTCATCATTCTCCCTGCTTTTACTGATCACACTTAACATTTATCCTACCCATAATGTCCTCATTGGTGATCACTTATACGGTGCTTTGAAAGTAACCCAGTGCTGTGGTTAAGCATATAAATGTAAGAACACCCAACAGCTCTAGAGAAAACATAAATTCAATAATACATACCCTCCATAAGCCAGCAACTCCTTCTTGTTTGTAGATTTTCACAAACGAACAAAGCATGTTGTCACAAGCAGTCGGCTGAGAACCCCGGGCTTGCATTCGAATCTGAAAAAAAAAAAAATGTACAAAAGCTAATCAATGAGAAAAACCCCCCAAAACAAATATTACTGAAACAACGGTAGAAACATTTTAAAAAATTGATTAAATAAATGACATTCCATAACAAGCCTTAAGCACGCCACCTACAACTAATCACTACATCTTTGTTTGTTTTAGTAGAGGTTTTACAGCGCTTGCAACTGCATAAGGTCATATGAGAGCCAGAAGATTAGAGGTGTAACAAGAGAGCAACAAACATAAAAAAGGAGGGGAGATAAGGACGATAGATGTTTGATAAGAAAGAAGAAGCAAATCACACCAGAGCACCCGCCAACCACCCACCAGCACATCTTTAGAATAGATGGAGGGAACACACACTAAAAGGAAGTAAAACTAGACCACACTAGAAAATGCTCACAAACCCACAGAAAGAAAATATCTTGGTGGGGCCCAAAGGTTTTGTTACTCTCTCCACTAAAAAGCCCCCAAATCTCGAGATGAGATATAATGTGGCACCTACCTGAATAAGAACAATCTTTCTTTTGCAAGAACTAAATTAAAATTCTGAGCATAATCTCGACACTAGAAATACAAAACCCCTAACAATATAAAATATTTAAAAAACCCAACAAAAACTGTCTCGGCAGCACAATTCCCAGTTTAAAGAGAGACAGGAGACCAACCTTGAGGACATCAGTCGGGTTTGCTATAGTACTGGACGTGATTCCTGCCACAACGCCACAGAACACATTGATGGCCAACGTCTCATCTACGGGATAGACAAAGAGGGGAAAAAAACATTTTTATCTGGTGAATATGTCGTCAAACTAAAAGTAAAAGTCATTTGGTATGTGCAAACATGACGATAAAACGACAAATTATGTCAGATGAGAGAAACGTGATCGCCACCACATGACGGAATAATCATTCACTCTTAAGTCAAGAGGTCACATGTTTCCCTGTTACTGATTAGGCCGCGCCTTGTTACAATTGTAACTTGCATAAAAGTGATGTTATCTATTTTCAAATGTTTGCTCAATTTGTAGACTTACTTTCCACTTAAGGAAACATTTTGGTTTCAGAATTCATATGGTTAACATTTTTGTCATGTTCCTAAAATAAGTGGCAAATTAATATTGCAGAATCCGGTTGTCTCGAATTGCATTCCGTACACATATTTACTCAGTCCAGTGAGGCACAAGTGTGAGGGAAGAAAGCTCTAGAAGAGTGACAGAAACAAACACAACTGAGGGCAACATGCTTTTACTTTTCTACAATTGTGTGCCAGTCCAGACAAATACAAATGTGGAGAAGAAAAAAAAAATCTCCAATACTTCGGTACACCCGTGCACTTCTGACGGAAAATCCCACTGGTTGAGAAACAGAGACAGCTTGTGACGTCAAGGCACTTGAGTCACAACTTATTCACTGAGCAAAATGAAGGACAAACATTGCCAGCTATACCTTACTACAGAGTAGCAAAAAAACCCCAAAAAAACCAACGGGGGTAAAAAAGGACACATATCCGTCTCTGTAAATAAAGATCCAGTTTTAAAATACTAAGATCCACGTTTTAAAATTCCATGCAAACAGCGATAAATTTCCTCCACTCATCACGCAAGCGTTACATTTCAATTTTAACAGGGGAAGATAAGACAAAACTATGACCTACATCTATAGCCACACGTTTGCTATCTATGACCCTGAATTTCCCAACGCTGAAAATGATGATACCCTATCAACCAAATGCAAAGTCATGTAAACAAACCCTTTGAGCCTGTGAAGCAACAATGTAAAAAATGACAGCAGCGAACTATATCGCCGTAAGCTGACAAAACACCTTTTTTCAGTTTTCGCGTCAATCTTTTAAAAATTGGTAACTTGAAAGTCTGATCAGTCACCTAACTTGAGCAACAACAAAAAATCACAGTGAAACTGTGACTAGTTTCTGAATAAATTAGATCTCAAATTTCAAGAGGAAACTTTTAAAAAACGGCTACGCTGAAAAAAAACATCTTTTTCTCAAAACAGCTGTGAATAAAAAGAAGGCGTTTTGTCAGCCTGCAGCAGCATAATGAATAGAACTTTAAACATCAGAATTTCTATGTAAACTCAAGGCAGAATAACAAATTCAAATATAAAATGAGTGCACACAAACCCCCAACTGCCACTACCATTCACAGAAAAATAAAGGAAAAACACTTACTGGCTGGGTCTGATATCAACGAACGCTTGAGCGTATGATAAACCCCAATCTTGATGGTGCCATAAGTCGCCTGACGCAATAGAGCCGGTCCCAGTCTGGAAAAATAAGAAGGGTCTTTGATAACAAACTGTATGTCCAAAAGCAAATAAGAGACAAGACAATCATTTAGGCAGCAAACTTGCTCTACAATACACTGTCCATTACAATGGCTTTCTTTTCAATTTTTACAAGGAGGAAGAAAACTCATTACATATTTTTTTCTATGGAGAAATTTACTGAAAATGATTAGAAAAATTTACAATTGTATTAATTCTTACACTTTAATCTTACACAGTATGAAAGAAACGAAGTTCAAGAAAACAGCTGACAAAAAACAAAAAGAGCCCCATAGGAGTTTCCAGTAACACCCATAGATTCCCACATAATAATAGAAAGCATTTGCACAGCACAAATCCCCGTTTAACAGCAAGCTCTTTGCGCTTTTCAATCTATATCATTCTCCCAACAGACCCGATAGCATTCTATATCAGTCTCAACAGAGGAGTATACAGTGCAAGCTGCCATTTCACAAGTGTCAAAACAATAAGTAAGACTCTGACAAGATCTTCTGCTGTCACATTGTCTCCAAGCAGAAACAGAGAGAGTACTGAATCAACATGTCTCATCTATCGAGAAGTTCAATAACATTTCGCACAAAATCTCCATAATTTTTTCATAAACAACAATGTATTCTTATTAAATAAATATTTATGTGCATTTCCACAAGCCCTTTACAACCCGAGTCATATTCTATATATTATATCCCAATCATCATGGACAAATGTACAAAACACAACATTTTCTCTGTGCAAATAGACTGAAAATGTTTCTTTTTTATTATTTGGTAAACATTAGGCACACCAATTTCCATAAATTTCTATGATTTCTAAATAATTATCTTATCAAATGATTATACAGCACTGGAAGCCTTGAAAAGAAAACACAATCTGTACAAAAACTCACCCTGAGTAGAGAGCGTGGGCACCTTCCTCTTTGAAAATTTTGAGGAAGGCATGGAGCATGCCCCGATACTTGAGCGTCTGCAGTCTGGCATCGATCACCTGGCCCTGCACTTGAAGACGAGTCTTTGTAGTATCGATGGGAAACGTTCCTGGAATTAATTAAAATAATTCAGAAAAATAGGAATAAACTTTGTATCTTCACACTACTAAAAATCATGAATGCAAATAATCAACCGGTCTTGTTGTCTCAAGACACGATGTCACACTTTTCAAAGGACCTTGTCATTATTTCAACTGGTTTTGTTTTGTTTTGTGACTAAGAAAAAAAAAGGAAAACGCACGCTCATTAACAGCTGATTCAATAAGAATAATTACCAACATTATAAGATTAAATATCATTTTAAAAGGAATTCAAAGAAATGAAAGTCATGACCCACACAACAAGTTTTTTTGACCGCCCTTCTCACTCACACTTTAAAATTAACTTTAACTGTTAACAAACTAACAGACCAGAATGACTTCAACAGTTACTATCTGAGAAACAAGCTTCTCGGTCAAAAGGAACCTTCTTAGTCTTAAGAGAGTCTTTTAAATCTGATTTGTAATACTTCTGTTCTATAGTTCTATTTCGACATTTCCAAAGGACGAAACTGAAAATTAACCGACTTATTGTAAGTCTAATGTACTTCATAAATATCTCTAATCAATTCCTACATGCTACATCACATACCACACTCGGCTGTAATGGAAGCTAGTCCGCCGTAGAGAAAAGGTCTCCAGTCGTTCATTCCGTGAACAGCAGGCGTAGGTTTCGACTCTAATTTGTTTGGTACAGACGGGTCAGCAAAGGCAGCTGAACTAGCTTCCTTGATGTGTTCTGAAAAAAAAAAAAGAAGAGACAACTGAATAATCTGATCTGCAAAATATACACTGTCTCAGTAATATGCAAATGTACAAATAAAAAGAATTACAATCAAGCCATATGCCACATTTTATATGATTGTTCATGAACCCATCTTTTATTCATGTCCACAGTTTATTTTCTCTTTCATTCTCGGACCAACAAAGAAAAACTGAAAACAGATTTGGTTGAACTTTCCCAAACAAAACAAAACTGTTGCAGTTTAGGTCTGTGCCTTAAAAAAAAGTACTCCAGTTGTGTATGATTAGCCCTACATATATCAGCCAGCCAGAGCCAACCTAACTATAACAGACAACAGCAGACAATGTTGCATTTCTCCCCAGTTTAACATCATGGCCCCAAGACAAGTGAGTATTAAAAAATTAAAAGGGCAGACATATCCTCCTTGACAAGGAAACTTTGTGGAGAAGTGTAGTTTGAGTATCCGAGTAACAAAATTGTAGGTAAATCAGCTTGAAACTCTCTAGATCTAGATTATACGTTTGATTCACGGTGAGCTAAGATATCAAACCTAACAACAGCAAAACATTAAATTGTGGTAAAATTCAGGGGGGCATGCCCCCCTGAAACCCCCCCCCCCCCTACTCTTGGGGCCAAAACCCATGAATAACAATTGCGGGGTGGGAACCACCGAAAAAGCGCCAAATAAAGTTCACAAGTTTATTTTCCAGAACGTTCGGAGAAATAGAGCCGGCCTGGATCTACATATCAGGATATCTAGATCTAGATTTCTAGATCTAGATCTAGATCTTGATATCTAGATCTAGATCTATATAATTTCTACTCTAATATGATGATATTGCTACAGAATCGGTTTCTAGATATCTATTTGTGAAATCAAAACGAATGCAAAGGTGTCAATCTCACGTGTCATCCAATAATAATAATAATAGCCAGAACAAGCTGGAAGCAGCCAGTCTCTCGTGCAAGCGGGAAGAGAAGATCTCTAGATCTATACTCTAGATCTACTTGTAGGCCTAAGCTTAAGACAGAGAATCTGCTGCTGCTGCTAGGCCTATCGCGAAGGGGGCTAGACACAACAAGACAAGCCCAGGCCGGGCCACATAAATTACCGTAACTGTAATCTCGAATCAAGAAAAGATCTAAAATTAATATCTTAAAATGCCAATATGTTCAAGAACCATGGTTCCTTGAGGCTTGATGCAAAATTGAAGAAGGAAGACGGAGAACTAAATTGCATCATCTCGCAGGCCTACCCCCATGGTTTAGCCTTCTCTGTCCTTGCATTTCCGGCATGGTCTTTCTCATTCACGTATAGATCTAGTCTAAAATGTAGTACTCTGCAGAACGCAGCCCATCCTTTTTGGCAGACAATAAAAGATTCTAAAATGGAATCAGCTTTACCCAGATTTAATTATTTCTCACCACGGTTCTAGCCCAAAATCGAAGCAATAAAATGTCTTACCAATGAGGTCACGACTACAATCCGTCCACCAGCAAGAGAGGTTTCAGAATGTAACACACCCCACTGATTGTTTTATAAATAACGGACACACCTCCACAGCACAGCAGTAGTAACGGAGTGAAGGGAGTGCGAGGGAGTGAGAGAACGACCTCGGGCGAACGACCGCGCCGATTGACAAAAAATGACGGCAATGTAGGCCCAGGGACATGCGCGAAAGGCGTGACAGAATCCGCCATTCTGATTCGCTGCATGGCTGCTATTTTTAACGTCAGTTTTTGCTTTGCTGATATTGATTGGTTAGAATCCTGAAAATTTCCCACTTCCCTCCCTCTCTTTCTTTACACCAGCGAGGTCGACAGACCGCGCGCGACACTCACCACGCATGCCCTCGTTTTAGTGTGTGTGTACTGCTAATGTTCACTGCTGTGCTCGTGTGCACATTAGTAGTGCACATTTGCCAAAAGAACGAATGAATCAGTTCTTCATATGAGAGAAACGAAAAGTGTTGTTTTTTTAAAACACCATCTAGATCTAGATTCTAGGCCTATCTCCACTCCCTTACATTCGAACATCGACCACCCCCTCGCCAACTCTCTACCAAATTACACGTGTAGAGTGCGGCAGGCTTACGTCATCTATTCTCTCCTCTCAGTCTCATACCTGATGGGTGTGACCTGGTGCGACCTAATGTAGGCGACTGCTGGGGTTTCTGACCCAATTTCCAGGCATATTCCGATGGGCTATCATCTAGAGGGTCAGAGAACGTTCGTGTAAGAACGTAAGGCTTTCATCATACATATACAGGTACAAGCAGTGAGAGTCTAGGTACCTATTACTTATAATCTATAACAATCAATGTACTAGGGTGTGTGTGCCAGAGCCTAATATGTATTAACGAATATAAGCCTACAAAGTATCACAAAGCAACAACAACCAAACAACAGATACAACAAACAAACCACGAAATCAGTAGTAAGGTAAAAAAAAAAAAAAACTCTCCCCCCCCCCCCCCTCCATTCCCACATCACAGTTTATTGAATTGAAAAGTGTAGGACAGCAGCCATTATCAAAATATCAAACGAGTTTACAGAGCTGTGTATATTATATTTTATTAGGTCTATATCTTTGAGCGACTTTGATCAGTCGTCCTTTTTTTCAGCTGGCAATGAGAAAAAACCGCAATAGCCTCCATAAAATGACAAAGGTACACGTTCAAGTGTTGCAGTTCGTTAAATTTAAAAAAAAGAAGATTGTGAAGCTAGGTGTCAAATTCATTTTCTTGATAACTGTGGCATAATTATTCAGCCAAAAAAGACAGAACAAAAAAAAAAAGAAAAGAAAAAAGTAGAAAAAGAAAAAAAAGAAGAAAAAAAAGAACGAAAAAGAAAAAAAAGAAACAAAAGAACAAAAAAGAAAAGAACAAAAGTAGTGAGGCTAAACAAACATTTTCGGTTTCCAACTATCTAACATAGGCGTCAAGGGCATGGGTTGTCTGTGAGCCGTGAGCGACTTTTCTGGGGGTTTGGGGGGGGGGGGGCATAGACAAGAAGGAAGACACACAGACGACAGAACATGGAGAGAGAGCAAGAAAGAAAGTGAATGAAGAACATTATTAAAGAGGAAAATTTTCCGTCGCCGTCAGGTTTCTAACCTAAGACCGATTGAATAAGAGGCAAATACCGTAACCTCTAGACCACAAGTGCCCCCTCTTGCTTTGTGAGGCCTACGTGTACTATGCTTCTTTAGAAAGAAAAGGGCGACAAAAAGAGGTTTGGGGAGACACGAATTCTTACTGTCGGTATAGCGCGGGTGTTGCATAACATGTATTTTATCTGCGTAACTGCTTACATTGGGTACATGTGTACGCCACAGTCAGACTTGCCCCCAACCCATATACATGTAGGCCTGCACATACACACGCACACACACATCGCTCGCTCTCTCTCTCTCTCTCTTTCTCTCTCTCTCTCTCTCTCTCTTCCACACACACACACACACACACACACACACACACACACACACACACACACACACACACACACACACACACACACATACACACACACACATACAGACGCGCGACTCCGAATATGAACAAGCCAAGTAGGCGGAGAGCTTTGATAATCCTCCAAACGACTCGAGTCTGGAAACAACACATTATGCAATATTCGGACCAGGGCCACGACTGTAAAAACACCCCCAGCCCAGCACGAGACCAACTTAGCTAACGTCGCACGCACCACCATGACTGTACCGGACTGCAGGTTTATCACTGACCCTATGGCGTTCAGTCAAAGGAAAAATAAACGGAAAAATAAACAGAAAAAAGTATAATTGTTTAACGCCCTTATTTTTACATTGTTACGTTATTTAAGAGGCGGGAACCTCTAAATTTAACACCCGTCTCCGATAGGACTGAGCCAAATGGATTGAGAACAACGCCAGCTTTATTATAATAAAGCAAGCGGGCATTAGTTGAGAGCCTTGAAAACTCCACAAAAAACGACCCAAGTTCAAGAACACACAGTCTGGGATTCCAACCTGCTGGGCCATTCGCTCCATATTATAACCCAGCATGATACCGGTAGAGCTAACCGAGCGCGCGTCAGTGAAAAAAAATTAACAAAAGAAAGTAGACAAAAGAAAGTAGACAAAAGAAAGTAGACAAAAGAAAGTAGACAAAAGAAAGTAAACAAACATACCGGAGGACGTCAAGCCTACGTTTTGTACCAAAGCGGAGCAACAAGAACGTTATGATGAATCTTATAATATTTAAACAGCTATTATATAAACAACGATGACTTTATTAAAAAATAAACTGGACGGATTCCCGCTTTCAGAGATAACGTACGCCAGGTGTATGACTCACCAAGGTGTATTATTATTACATGCATGATGTACATGTATTATGAACCTGTAACTTAAACCGCCATACATCTTTCTTATAAAAGAGTGTATACTCATAGCATTATTTCAACTGGTCTAGTCGGATGGGTCGGACCGGTTTTGGAAGACGAGTTTTTTAGATTTATTTAGTAAGAGTTTTCAGGCATTTGCAACACAATTCGGTTTTATATTAGCCCAGAAGGTTTGGGCAGAGAGGGTTTACGGTGTTTGAGGTATTACTTGAGAGTAACAAACACAAACAAGGAGGAGAGATAAGGACTACAGGTGTTTGATAGGAGAGAAAGAGAAAACCACACCAGAAGGCCCTCCAACCACCCATCAGAGACAAGTTGGTCAGTGTCCACTAAATGTGAAACTTAACTGATCTTTCACTTCAACAAGATTAACATCCAGTTCACACTTCAGAAAGTTTCGTTAAATCCCTGTTTGATTTGGTTTATTTTACAATATATTTGAGACGTCTTGATATCCGTCATGTTTGGAAAGGGTTGTGTCAAAATTGTAAAAACCTAAGACAAATTCTGGCAACATCTGTTTGTAACCGCCATTATGCAGATCATACGTGATGGGACGGCAATCGTATATTGAGTGAACAGGCATTAATTAATAACACCCCATTTCTCTCTCTCTCTCTCTCTCTCTCTCTCTCTCTCTCTCTCTCTCTCTCTCTCTCTCTCTCTCTCTCTCTCCCACTTGGCGCCACAACTCCTTCAGTTTCCATGTACTAGCACAAGTGAACTTATGGTTATCTTTGACTTTGTAAACTTTCCATGGTTCCGACCCGCACAAAAAGAGGGGGAAAACTATATATAAATGCTGAGCAAGGTCAAAATCGTGCAATCTATGGTACACACACATACCTGATAGCGAACAGCTTAGGAAACAAAATGTATCATGTACTCAATGAACTGTGACTCGTCACGAGCCCGACTGATAACATTCTCATTTCCGCTGTTTGTTTGGGTAGACTAAGTGTTTTACGCGCTCGCAACTGTGTACAGAGGTTATATGAGCGCGCGGGACACATTAATAATGAGCTAGGAGTAGCTGTACAAACAGTCAAGAGTCCGGAAGGGGTGAAGGAGAAAATTTTAGAGAAGCAAATTTCTCGTCTCCGTCAAGTTTCAAATTCGGGGGTGGGGGATGGGGGTGGGGATAGAGGTAGGGGTTGGGTCAGGGTTAGGGTTAGGTCCTATCTTCTTTGTGTTTGTTGGGGTTGTCGCTCGTTACGGAAGTCCTTCCGACAGCCACATTGACATCCCCTTCCACCTCTCACATCCCTGCCCCTCTCCTCAATATCCTCTCCTCTAATCACTAATCCATGCGCTCCAAGTCTTTGTTGATCAGTTTCAGCCAGTGCAGTCTGAAGTATCTACCAGAGGGCTTAGATAGATTGCTAGTGTTTGTGTGTGTGTGTGTGTGTGTGTGTGTGTGTGTGTGTGCGTGCGTGTGCGTGTGCGTGTGTGTGTGTGTGTGTGTGTGCAGTATAACACGGATAGGTCGAACACAGAAGACCCGACATCACGCATTCGTCGAATAGTGCATGCGGTTCCGTTTTTTTATTTTGTATTCTGCTTTATCTTTGTAAGATAACCCTCCAACTACGGATTCCTCGAACTTCCGAGGCCGGTCCCGATGAATTCGAGCTATCCATGTTATACGCCTATATATATATATATATATAATAAAAATAATATATATATATATTATATATATATCTATATATCTATTATCTATTTGTGGTGGCCGAAATTTGCTATTGAAAAGGCTTTTTAATGGCTGCATGGATCGACATGCGGTTTTCGCCAAAAGATTCTTTGAAATATTCACCAGATCATGACGCCCTTTGTTTTTTCAGTTTTGAGACAGTTTTGCTTCGAAAAGCTAAATTTCGTTATTTCGCCGATCGCTTTTCTAGGCCGACGCTTCTGTCTCTGTAATTTTAGAAAATCAGCCAGGTTTGTTCATTTCAAGTCGTACTTCCTTTCGTTACTATCGCGCACTGTCGCGCAATACTGAGCACTATTTTAAGTGTGCGACCCGTATAGATCTAGTCTCAAGTTGTCTTTGTGTGCTTAGTGTTAAATTCGACTGATCCTTTCGTTTGATGCCCGTCGTCGCTTTTTCTGGACTTCTTCGTCAAATTCTTTTTCTTGCTACTGGGAACAATCAACACGCTTCTATCTCAATCCGTTCAACGAACGGGGCCCAGCTAGTATATATATACTTAATATATACATGATGTATATAATTATAATACTAGGCCATAGAATCCCTGTGGGTGGGTCTACTGTCTCGCCAGCTGCAGCACGTGCTTCAGTACGAGCGGGCTGAGCAAAAGAAAGCCGGGAACCACTCAAGCGTCACATGATCTAATAGTACACCACTCTCCACTCTCTCACTGCACCAAGAAGCCTTACTGCATAAATAACCTTCTTGCACTACACACAACGCCTACTCTGAAGCTGGTGTTTGTGGCGTTGATTACACTGGTGGTATGCCTGTACGGTGAGAGTTGGGGTGGGTTCAAGGCTAGTCGATCATAAATGGGGTAGGTTCAAGGAGATTAAAAGTAATGGAGGATGCTCTATGGGCGGCACCGCACGCCTGATAGGAACCCTCTCTCGCGGCGGAACTGTGGTCTACCTGCGCTGCGCGAATCCCCAACTCACGCACTGAAATCTAGATAAGAAAGAAGGTTTTATTCCGAGGTCCTTGAGATTAGGCAAGTTAATTAGTAAAAATACCTTGC